GAGTCGTGATGGAAAGTGATCCACGCGTTGTGTTGTGTTTTACGCGTTTAACACTTTGCGTAACGCGGTAAACACGTTATGACGCGTTATCGCGTTAGAGTTTTTCGTGATATTGCGTTTCACGCGTGCGTTTTGACGCGAAGTGTTATCTCAGTACAACATATCGCGTTTTTCGCGTAAAACACTTCGCGTAAAACAGTTTTACGCGTAAAACAGATGAAACTCCATTGATTTGATGTGAATTAAAAGTGTAACGCTTAGTTCGATTTGTATCGCGTTCAATACTAATGAGGTCGCAGGTTCGAAACCCGGGGATGTCATTTTTACCGGCTTTTTTGGTCAGGCGTGGTATGTGGCATTTTATTAGAGATGATTCGGCAGACCATAACTTCAAGAGACGCTTCTGCAACGAGCACACCAAAGTGAGACCTATCGTTCCTGCTGTTTCCATGAACTCGAGTGATTAGAATATTTATATGTGAAGTAATATGTAGATGATATGAATGGAGTTTCACCCTAGTGATATGAAAGGCGCTAGTGGAAGAGTGATCTCGGATTTCACTTTGAAGTTTCTCATGGGAAATCGCGGAATGTTTTATCTGGTGTCTCTCGCGAAATGTTATTAATTCACTTCATATCGCGAATATCGCGTTTTTCACATGGAGTATTACGCCACTTCATGTGAAACGGGTAGTCGTGAAACTCCATAGTAAATGCTAATTCGATTTAGAAAATTTGAGAGTATATTCTACCAAGCTCCGCCCTTTTTACGAAAGGGCGGAGCTCATTTAGTCCGCGTCTATTGATTCATTCAATGAATATGACATATGCCTCCGGTCGGACATTTCACCGTCGAAAAAGACTCTCATGCACATATCTTTGCGCTGTTCGTGAAATAGTTTTTTGCGCAAAACTTGGCATATGAGGAAAGCGTTTGATCTATCTGATGGTCTCGATATCTGCACGTACGCACAACGTGAAAGTGTCTGTTGTTGTGGTACTAGCCCTTCGTGTCGAAGGGGCGGAGCTCACTGAGTCCACGTCCATGGACTCAATCAATGAATTTTACATAGGTCCAGCCCGGTTCGATCCCCGAGTAGGACATTTCTCCATCATTAAAGTTTTTTGTGCATATCTCTTCGAGCTGTTCGCATAATCTAGTTTTCCGATTTTTCCCAACACCTCCGCATATAGAGGAGTCGTTTGACCTATCTGCTAGCCTCCCACGCTCCGTAGTTAAGCCAGAATAATTCTGCACGCACGCACAACGCGAAAGTGCCTGTTGTTGCGGTATATGCTCCGCTCGCTTCGCTCGCTCCGCAATGTGTTAAGTAATATTTTGTTTTAGTCTTCCCACTTCTGATCCAACAACGCGACTACCTCTACTACTAGATGAGGAAATATCAACGATTCTACAGTGGTTTATGGAATTATCAACACTTCATGATGGACTGAGGCGATGCACGGCCAAGGCCATTTTGGAAACGCATGCGAGGCGATTTGATGAGGAGACGGGTCGTTTGGTAGGTTTTTTGTTCAATTACATTGGGGAGTAGGGATATATGTATTCGCTTTACTCAGCTGCTGAGGTCATTAGCTGGAATTTCACGACCCGTTTTACGCGAAGTGGCGTAAAACTCGAGATATTCGCGGTGATATGCAGCAGTGTTTTTCATATCACTAGGTTGGTGAAGCTTCACTTAATATATCGATAACGATTCTATCCATCATATTTTGATACTAATTTAGTCCATGGATGGAAATTATTGGAGTTTCACGACCCCTGAAGTGGTATAATACTAAATGTGAATTATAAGGTGTGTATGCTGATTCCGCCAACACCGATAATATAATTGTTTTCAAGGCAATTGTGAAATATGTTTCTCATATCACTAGGGTGGAAATTCAGTGTCATTACGTATTGCTCGGTTGACTCTCATGAGGAAAGGTCGTAGTAGAAATTGTTGATGATGAACCGAGTGGGAAAATATGCACATGGTCATCTACGGGGTTATGGGAATTCTGGGAAAATCTGGGGAAATTTTCTTAATTTCTTTATACTTCTACCAGAGCTCCTACAAATCAAATGCCGAAAATTTCCTGAAATTTTTTTAATATTATCACAATCACACGGCGTCGAGTATGTGCGAATTTTCTCACATGGATGATGAATTTAGATACCACAACACGAGCAAACATCTAGTACAATTATCGAGGTGCTCCTCACTAGTCT